TCCCAATTGGGAGGTTCCCTAGATTGGGATCTAGACCTCTGTTTATGAAAAGCAAACAGTAAACAGTCTCCTAATAATAGGACAATCGGCTAGCCTTGTCCCTTGAGAGTTCTCAATGATGGGTGACAAGTCTAACCTATAGCTGCTGCGTACGACAAACTCATCAACTAGATGGACGAAAACATCAGCTACCTTAGCCAACATCGATAAACCTCCCTTCCACTACACCAATCAATGTATGCTAGCCACTTGGAGTCATAGGCTGCATTGGTGGAACCCCTATTCGCTCCGGCCAGGATGTTAGCAGCTCACTCAGATAAACCTTCCATCTGTGCAAGTCTACTGAGAGCCTCCATGCATGTTAGTGGTACATTGCTGGGTTTATTGGTAGTGTACCATCCGGTTGGGACAGCAGATCCAGGATGTCCAGAAACACTACCAGGCCTTGGTTGGCCAGTTGGGCGCCACCAGCGTCAAGATGCAGGTTTGCTCTTGTCAAAGTTTCTCAAGTACTAGTACCTGGTGAATCATCTTGGCTTGCCAAGGTCTAAGTTTATTCAGCCAAGCCTCTAAACAGACCTTGGCAGAACGACCATCAAATATGCGTATTTTAACAGCGCCTCCAGTAGTCATTTGCGGCTAATCATTATCCAATCAGTTTGCGTGTTACAAATCCTTCTTTGGCGTTTCATTTTAAACAAAATGGCGGCGCCCATGAATCGTCATATATGTGATCATAAAATTGCGAAAGTTTTCGATGTTGGTGCCCTCACGCCTCATCAGGTACAGGCAATCAACACAGTTTTGTGTGGGAAGGATGTCTTCATAGCGACAAAAATAGGAAGTGGAATTTTGTTTTATAATTTGATACGTCCAAGTTGATTGTTTCGAGGCGCGCCAAATCAGATCTCACTGCTTAAGATACACAATTAGCCTATGCGATCCCGCACGGTATCGTGTAAAGGCCTACAAGTCGAAGACACAGGGCCGTGCGATTCGGACGATGCTGGTGAATCAGAGGGAAGGAAGGAGCGTACGCGTTCATGTAGGTCCACAGGATCGATAATGCGTCCACGGCCCATGCTCCTGGAGTCAGCAGGAATATCACATACGAGCTTGGCATGCCGGGGTGTGGTGAATAGGTCTATTTTGGGCCCATTCCACAGCCAAAACAGTCTGAAGGCTATCCATTGGGGTACCTGCCACTTTGCTTTTGGAACTACGAACACAAGTGAGTAGAAGCCTGGAATTGCTGCCGGTCTTCTACCCTGTGTATGACATCCTTTGTAAGCAAACTGTATGTCTCCTGTCGGATTGCTTCAGCTTTGAGGTGATCCCCGGTACCAAATGGAAGAGATGTCAACAAGGGAGGCGGAGATAGCAGCGGAATCTTGTAACTGTGACCTGGAGTGTCATGGGGTCGGTTACCCACTGATTCCAAGCCGTAATACATCGGTGCAATCTGAGTGTGACAGCGACATGTGGCCATTGAGGGCAAGGAGAGTCTCGTCAAGGTCTGTAAGAGTCAAAAAGCTGCGACTCTGCCCCCTTGTCACAGAAGGAGCATCAAACTCGCTTCCTCTATGACTTGGAGGCGACTACCACCTGGTCCCTTCTACCTGGAAGGCGCCACTACTCATCCCTCCCCTGGGAGTGTCGGGATGCTTGCCTCCTTGCAACTGACGACTTTGGTTGTTGTGTTTTCTCTGATTGGGGTACTGCTCACTTGCCCTTAGCAGAAGCCAACTGGTTCGTAGACTCCACCTGTACCATCTGGTCGGTGGCTTCCAAAAACTCCAAAACTGCACCCTCCATCTCCCCATCAAAGAGGGTGGAAGAGGTCCAGTCTGCGTAACTGAGGTGGTGGCGCACCCCGTGGCTCAGTTCGTCGGCGAAAACACATGCTGTCAAAACAGCATCCCGCTGAACAGAGGTAGCCCCTGCCAAGAGAGCCATATGACACTGTAGGATATCACAAACAGCTGTACAATCTCCCACCAACAACTGCGTCAGCTGGTCTAGGAGGCTGGAGACGCAGTGCAATGCATTCCAGTGTGCTGGCCACAAACTCCAAAAAGTTAATGGGTCACAACTCTGCTCTCAGGGCGTGGTGGACTGTTTTTGACTGAAATGCCAAGAAACTCCACAGAACTTAGCCATCCCCCTTCAGCCGGTCCTTCAGTTTGTGGTACCTCGGGGAAAGGAAGCGAGGGATCCGGCCGGGGTGCAAGATTTGCTGGCTCCGGTACCTGACACCACACTGATCAGATAACGCTTGGTCCTGCGGAAGGTGTTAGTCATGAAGTTACCCCACCCTGGGGTCTTAGCTCTATATTCTTCCGCAGAGGACCTACACTCACCCAGCAACACCATTTGTGCGCCCTTTGCCACATTCAGCAATCTGCCGGACCAGGGGAGCCGTGTTGGTGTTGCCTTGGATCCCTCCATCTGGGATCCGGGAATCAGATATCGTCGTAGAACCCCCTTTCACCTGAACCTCAGAGGCAAGCTCGGTACCCGCAACAGGCCCCATAGCAACAATAGGCATCAGGGGCATGTCTTTGCCGTTGGTGCTATGATCGAGCAGATCTCCGTCTGCAATAACAGCAGGGGGTGTGTGCGTGTGTAACAGAGAAACTTCGGCTTCACCACTGCAGTGCTCCCAACTCGATGCCGCAGCACCTGAGGTACTGGTAGTTGAACCAGAGGACTTCACACCCATACTAACACTCCTCTCACTCATGCCCGCAGGGCCACCCGAACCAATCGTGTGACTAGCCCGAGCCTGGGTGACACGATCAATCTCTGCAACATAAACGCTATTTTTGTGTGCAGTACAAAAGCATAAGGGCCCCTAATAAGAAAAATGTTATCCTACCAGACACGACGTCTTACTGTTACCAATGGTCACAGAAGGAGTACCTCAGAAAACTGTCGACTGAATGCACTGTTTCGCTACGATGCACACTCAGTGCATAGAAATTAGGGAGTAAACTCAAGGCAAGGTGGCGCTGACCTTTTGATATGGAAGAAAATCTATGAGGTCATGGGGCTTCCCCTGACATAGATTTCTCTCTCCGTCATTGGCTGAATCGCAAATTAATGCCTACAGTTCAAAATAGTCTTTTTGACTGTCCAGATGGTTTGCCAGATTGTGTCGGAGACATGGTTGGGGACATGGTCTGGTTTGCTTGTTCTTTATCATTTAATACTAGCGCAGTGGGACTGTGACCTATAAAACTTTGAGACATGTAATGAGCAGAACCAGTTGAGTAAACATCCTAGAAAATCATACTAAATAAAAACATATCAGTTTAAACTTTTATGAAAAAGTAAAAACTAAACCTAGAAAAGTAGTGTTTTATTTTATTACCTATTCACCTATCGTCAATGCAGACTTTCTCCTACTCATACACACATCTAATACCAATATTAACCATTGTCAGTCTGTGCTTTTAGTAGTCCGGGATGAAAAAACAAATAATGACCAAATTATAAATACTGGTTGACAGTGTGAATAGTAAGTTCATAGTAAGTTTATAGTGAACTATAGTAGTGGGACTAAAGAAACAAAAGTCCTTTTTTTCAAAGTGACTCAATTTATTTGTCACTCTAAACAACTCAACATGATGTAAATACTGACTAAATACAATTATATAAATTAAATTGCAATTGTTAAAAAAAATGCATTCCAATCTAACAACTTGAATTAACATTCACTGTACACATGTCAAATAAATAGTGACAACTTCCATGGATGAATCAACTCCTACATACTGTAAAACATGTCTTTTTAGCCAGCATGTTATTTTAGCTAATCTGTAATTTCACTAAGTCAAGATGCAGCTAATTTAACAGAAAGTATATTCTCACAAGGAGATAGTCAATTTAGCTAAATTAAGATTCTGTTAATTCAGCGCAAGAGTCAAATCCGCTAAAATTGCATGCAGCTATTTCAACATGTTCTACAGTATATCATGCGTACTATACACACATGTACCAAGTATACATTGTGCATACAGAGTAGCTCTCAATGTTAACTCTATGCCAAGTATCGCTGTTATCACTGTATTGAAAAAGAACATAAATATATATTCTTGTCTAAAGATACATATTCTGTATACAGCAAGGATTGGAAACATACTCATAGTAGGTATGATTTTATACATGCTGGTTTACTATACGTAAACTGGTATACGATATGGCAAAGCAATTATTGAGGATAAACTGTGATGTACAGTACAATATGTCAAATCGTTATAATATATCTATTAATTATGTATTCCATTAAAAAATCATGTTTCAGGTTCTCTTAAAATTCTATAGCACCAACACCTGCAGTTCCCTCAAAATGTTGGATCACCCAGTCAAAGAATAATTTCACTAACATGCCACATTCAACACGCATACAGTAAATAAGAATATATAAAAACAAAATCAAATATAGAATCCCAATACATTACACACATCTTCTGTTACCGTAATAATGAAACAATACATTGAAAATCAATCATGGAGAACACCAAATATGGACTCATTGTAAATCAACTCATTGTACAAGGGTACATTATGCAAATAAGTCATACCCAGGCATAAATCACTATGAAACAAAAGTCAGCATACTCAAAGCATGATCAGTATTTGTTTTGGGTTTTTAAAGCAGTCAATACATTAGAAAAAAATCTACAAAGAACAGTGTTCATCATATAACAAAATGCTTTTCAATTTTGAAGACTTGTGAATGTGCAACACAATTAAGTAGATTTTTTTTTCTCCATTTCCATGCAAAATATTCTCATGTCTTGGACACATGGATAACTAGATATTTAACATATACTAACTGTAATCAACTCTATGTCTAGCATACTGCATATATTTTTGTTCAAAATTGTACAATAGCTTCAAAGCACCAAGTTTACTGGTGAAGATATCTTTCCCAACATCCGCACATTGAATCGCATAATTACAATTTCAGGTACAAGGAAGAGTACAATGCATGTTGAAAATATGAAATCAGGATATACTCATAAATACAGCCTAAGCCTACTTTACTCGTCCAATTTTGATGAGACCTATTACATGTATGTACAGTAAATGGAGATATTTAATAAGATAATAATGCCTGGTCTCAAATCCAGAATAAGAAAGAAGGGTTTTGCGAATGGACACCAACCCAACATGAAAAAAAAAATGCTACAGCAATGCCAAAAAAGACATACAGAAAGTCAAATCATTGGAAAGGAACCATGGACTGAACAAGATCCACTGGTTTGCTCAGAGTTGTAAAGGCTAGAAAAGTTGCGTTGGTGCCTCATGCTTCAGACGAGCAGAGGATTAATGAATATAGACAAAAAACACACAGATGTTTTTAAAAGTAATTGGTTTTCCAGATGAAAGATGTGTTACATTTCAAGGTAATACCATTCTAATAGAGAGTAAGGGGTCGTCAGTAATGTATACTCTCATTTGTTTGATGAATCATAACTCATTTTTAAGGTAAAATTATTCTGCCTGTTTCCTGAATGGAACAAATATACATGGACACAAGTGTGTGGTATCTGCAAACTTGGGCTTTTAATGAAACAAATCATTAAATTAATAGTAATCAGGATCCAAATTATAAATTAGTAGTTAACCATGGTCATGATGTTCAATGATAGATTTACTGTACAAAATGACAGAACTAAATTATTGTGCAATATACTCATCAAAAATGGGGTTTGATCATGTGACCCTTAGTGAAGTCAAGTGTCCACCGGGAATTATTATAAAGTGATGTGATTAACTATGCCGCAAAAATGTTGTTATTTACTAAATGAGGTATATGGTAGTACGCAAATGTTTTTTAATAGAGTAGTTAATTTAGTTGAGTGTTAACACTGGATTAGAACACTGATTGTATGTATTTGACCCTCAACCCACCCAGCCCATAGCCACACCCACAAAGTTAAAAATCCACATGAAAGTCCTTATAGCTAACTCAATTTTGTTTCAGCCGCCATTTGTCAGTAGCTTCCTTTCTTGCATCTGGTTTCAGCTGATTCCTGACACCACCAAGAACGCTGGACGTTGCTTCCGTGGCCAGGATGAGTGGTTTGACTACAGTCGAAGGTATCTGACGCATCACTCCACCCACGGCACCGGAGACACCTTTGTGTACATGTTCCTCTCTAGCTACCCGCATTATATTGTCTGCTGTATCACCCAAACCCTATACAGGATAAACAAGTAAGAAATAGATGAATTACTTTCACTGAGAATATAAGAATGTATTATCATATCAGATTTATAGGGTGGTCAACTATACTTGTGTGCGCAAGGCAAAACCTAACCAGAAAGCTCTCAAACAAATTAATATAGTGTAACAGAACAAAACATTGACAAATTGTAAGACATTTACCTCAGCGACAACTTTGTAAGCTGTAGCCATGCCTTCCCTGAGATCAGCTGGCTGATGAGCTAGTCTATGCTGCACGAACTGACCACCACTGCCATAGGTGTATCTTGAGACGCTGGGTCCCGGTGATACCATGTCGTAGGTCGTCTCAGCTACAGCCTAGGGAATTATACAAATGACAGAATGATCTAAATTACATTAATTATTAGATTTAGCTATTGGATTGAACCACGCTGACAAATGTTAACTGACTGGTATTGAAAGATTCAGACAGAGCATAAAAAGAAAGGGAGTTGATTTTGTTGCAGCTTCTACCGCAACAGTAGACGTCACATTAGTTGAAATCAAAGAATCGTAATACTATACATGACATGTGTTGAACCAGAATGGATTCATATTTACCTGTACCGCTTGTACTAGTCTATTGGTAAGTTCTAAGGCAGACATGGCAGTGGATGTAGTAAATGAATGAGCACCTCTCTGTAGACCTCTAACGATGCGACCGTCTTTTTGATATTGCTCTATGGGTAATCTCACTAAATCAACCACCCCTTGAACTGAAACCAATAACAAATTACACTGAAAATAGTAACTCTCAATTGAACGAGTCACTGGAAATGAAACCTGCTTGATATGTCCAAATTTTGCATGAAATCATCAGAAAGCATCTTGCATCTGTTGAACACAAGTAAATCTTCAATTTACTGACATGCTATTTTAACATTCTGATTGTTTCTCTGTTAATAGTGTTTATATTAAGTTTCCTACTATGAAATTGACAACTGATAAAATCAGATATACGGTATATATATATGATGTAAAAACTTAAATATACATGTGTGAGGAATGGTCTCCAATTGTCAAAACTTTTTACATTCATGCTGAAATAAAACATACATGATGCAAACTTCAATGACTCAGATGATTCAAAACTGATATAATTCAAAGTCAGATGACAACAGTCGTAGAAAAACACTAGGATTTTCAATTAATGGAAATGTCCAGTCAAATTTTAAAAATAATGGCCCAACTCAAAAGAAATTGCAACAGAAGTCGACTGTTATTACGTACAAAAACTAGAGAAAAAAGGATATGAAATGTGTTTTTATGAAAACAACCAACAAGCAGTCTCTCAGTTCAGATAGCTCCACTGTTAGCAATTCACATTTCGATTTAAAAATTGAAAATATCATCACAAAATGAACGAATCTGAGATCGGTAAATATGAGGTACCTATATGTATAATTCATAGCCATCAAAGTTGCAGTTTTCAACAATATCACTTTTTACCAAAAATTACAAAAATATTCATCAAAATTAGAGTTATCATCATGAAATAAACAAATCTGAGTGAGGTTTACCTGTAGTACCTATATGTATATTATGAAAGTAATCAGACTTCTGGTTTTCAATAAGAAGTCAAAAATATTCACCAAAATAAGGGAATTAAAGATATGATCATAAAATGAACAAATCTAAGAGAGGTCTACCCAAGGTACATATACACCAAGTATCATGGCAATCAGGCTGGTAGTTTTCAAGAAGAAGTAAAAAATGTAAAAAGTTGACCTGAACAGCTGATGACGATGGACAATATGATAAGCTTCGCCCAACAAAATCCACAGCTTAGCTTAAAAGAAGGCAGGTTTTATTTTGTGAAATGTGACGAAAGTAGTTCAAGGGGTTTAATAAGAATTCTGTGTTTAATATATTCACATTCACAGTACATGGTGATTGTATGATTACCTAGCTGTACAAGAGAGTGCATTGGTCCAACTCCACCTAGTATACTTGGTAACTGGTTATTTCTAATATCCGTCATCCATTCATTCAAAGCGTAATTCACCACTTTATCTAAACCGAGTAATCTACAAGTAAATATTGAAATTGTATAAATTGCAACAACAAAAAAACATTCTAAATTTTAAGTAATCACTGTTTAAAAAGTAGCATGCAAAATAACTGGTGTGCACTAACCCCTGTCTGTGCTGGAACCTTTTCAACTTCAATTCAGAACAATTCAGTTGGCCAAGACCAATGAGAAGACCAGTAAATGTACCCTGTGATGAGAATTGTGAGCACTGTCAGAAAATGCAGGACATGAAATGCACATGGCTTACATCGCAGAGAATAACAGCTACTACATGTGGTTTAAATTAATAGTGAAAAATGATGTTACCTCTTCCAATGCTAAGTGTTTGCCTTGATAATCCAATCGTATAGGAACTTCTGGTGCAAAGCTGAAAGACCTGAATGGAAAAAACACAATGAAAATAAATGATGTTGGTTATGTACTCTGAACAGGCATGATGGCTTAAAGTCAAAACAAAGATTCAAAATTCTGAACTCTATTTATAAAGTTCTGTTGTTATCAGAGCCGAAACTTGACTCCATCTGAAAATCACGCCCTCAATTTTTTCCCGGGACTGTCGCACAAGACTTGTATTTACAAGTGACTTGACTATAAACATAAATTATGTTAGCCAATTCCGCACATAAATAGTTACTACAATAGTATTTCTATCCATACCAGAAACCACTTTTTGTTAGGTTAATATTTGGCGTGTATACAACAATTCAAATACTAGTATGATTCAACCATGCCTCAGCCCTCTGCACTGCTTCCCTAACCTGAGAAAAACAGTAACAAACTAATTCATGAAGTAGTTCAGAAAATTAATTAAATGGCCAGAAAATAAATTATGCTTTATACTGCTGTCACTTTCGTGAGTGGAAAGTGAGTGTGAGTGGGCATTGTTTACAAAATAAAATAATCAAAAAAATATGCATTAAACATTAGGCAATCGGACTTGTGGTTTCAAGTAAAGTCGAAAATATTACTTTTTACCAAAAATGACAAAAATATTCATCAAAATTACAAATTGAGGATATCATTACAAAATGAACAAATCTGAGAGAGGTTTACCTTAGGTACCTCATTGAAGCTAACAGACTTGCGGTTTTTATCAAGTCAAAGATATCACTTTTTACTTTTAAGAAAGAGTTGCAAAAGTACGCAAATGGACGCCGGATGCCGTCGACGATGAACAATCACTCATATGACAGCCTCCGCTCAACAAAGTCAACAGCAGAGCAAAAAAGTAAATCCTGGTCTTGTGGCTGAAAATCCTAGATTTTGACTGAATGTGTTTAGATGGAGAAATTTGCTGTCTTGTGCTGGCCCAGCTCATCTCAACTAATTTCATATGCTACTGAAAAAGAGCCATTGCTTAGAACAATGATTACCAAATATTGCGTATTATAACATATCAAATTGAACAATACCCCCTTCAGATGTCCCTGTTTGCTACACGAAGAAACAGTTCCTAATGGTGACTGAAGTACACGTCTGAAAACTAAAAAATGCATGCATTACACATCAATTTCACTAGTAAAATACAAATGCATTATTTTGTACCTGTAAAATACAGGTGGGTCTGCACTGACAACTTTTGGTTCACTACCCTGCGCAATACAACTGGAGGTCACAGTGGATGTGCTGCTCTCTAGCTCCTGGGTATCACTGGATTGCAAAGATGACAATGATGATGTATCATCTGTTGCTGTGACAACAGGTTGAACTGGTATTGGGAAAGCTGCCGGGGTACCTGAACTTACGTCTGCATTTGCTTTATGCTCTGTAATAAACAATATTAGACCTGGTCTTGTGATAACAGTAAGATTTGTTTTTGCATATTTACAATATCTGCGCATGCACACCTTTCAAATTGACACTCAAGCTTATTGAGAATAAAAAATTCTAATTTATTCTTTTTGCTACATATGTCGGCAAATTGTTTATTAATCAACACACATTTTTTTTATAAGAGTTTGTTGAAAAACAATCGCCACAATCTGTCTACAAGGCATATAAAAGAAATAAATAGGATTTAAAAAACAAGAGAGAATCAAAGAAAGCTTAGAAAGAACTCTTGTGTGCTGAGAGTATTGGGAACATGTTACAATTTAATTCAAAATTTAAGATTAGCCTTTCAAACAAGCTTTTTGAGATGTACAAGGGGGAAACAATATAGAATATAAAATACATTTGATTTTCCTGAGCACCTCAACCTTAAGTTCAATTTAATTTTTTTTTTTGGATCTTAGATATTAGCTAATAAAAAATAGAAAATCAATAATCATGTTTTTCAAAAATAAACTAATCACGTCTCCAGAGCATCTATGAACCAACTTTAAATGAATTTATTGATTATACACATTATGCAACTTAGGCAATTAGTATGCTCAAATTTCAATCCATGCTAATCAGGTCTTAAGTATTGTTCCCAAGCACTTATATTAGTCTTATTGAAATGTAATTATTATGCAAATTAAGCAATATATTGTATAGATTTCAACCCAAAATTAATTAGGTCTGTGCATTGTTTCAAGGCACGCAAAAATCATATTTCATTGTAATGTGATGATAAATTCTTAAAAAAATAGTGGAAAGTTGAAAAGTAAATAATTATGCAAATTAAATGACTAATATGCATGGATATTAACCCAAAAATTATCCGGTCTATGCATTGTTCAATAATATCTATGTACCAAGTTTCATTGAAATGCGATGATTATTACTTGAGATATCAGCGGAAAATTCAAAAAAATAAACTAATTATGCAAATTAGGCAATTAATATGCACAAGTTTTAAACTAAAACCAACTAGGTCTGTGCATTGTTACAGAGCATCTATGTACCACGTTTCACTGAAATGTGATGAGTAGTACTTGAGATATTAGTGAAAAAAAACATTATGCAAATTAGGGAACCAATATGCACAGACTATTACCCAAAACTGGTCAGCACATTGTCCCAGAGCATCTCTGTGAGTTTCATCAAAATCCAATGAATGAATATCCAATGAGTGGTTCTTTAGATAGCAGTGGAACAGTCATGAAACAGCTAAAAATTAGCTAATTATCATGCAAATTAGGTAATTAATATGCATGGTTTTAAAACCAAAACCAAAATTTAGCACATTAGCTCAGAGCATCTATGCATCAAGTTTTATAAAAAACATATGGTTCTCAATATATCAGTGGAACAGACAGACACACACACACATATATATATAGACACACTAACTGCAAAACTACTGACCTGCCAAATGCACTGGAACCACTCCATCAGATAAAGTACTGAAAAAGTCCCTCAGGAAAAAAAGTGAATCCTAGGAAAAGGAAAGAAGATACATAATCATGATACGCCTAGCTTGAGCACTACAATAATTTTCATTATCGTACCCATGTTATTGTACTCAAGTATTGTAGTGTGTTTGACCCTTGTAAAAACACAAATCAAATAATCGCTGAGCATATATGCTGTAGTGTACAAGGTTTGAGAACCAAATACTGTATTTTGTTAATAACCTTATTATTGTACATTATATTTTTTAAGAAGCTGTAAACAAAAGGTTGGCTTAAATGTCACTTTCGCTTTCAGAACTAGTTTGCCACCATGCTTTCAGTAACATACTCAAAATTTGCATAATAGATCAGTGGCTGGGATACTGCTGCCTTAATGAAACTTGTTGATAACCAAATATTTTAAAAGTTCTACAACAGCACAATAAAGTTCTGAGTGAGTGTCTGCAATCCTGATCATAATGTCCCAGTACATGAAACTCGACTGAGTATTCCAGACGTATTTTGTGAATGACCTCATATTATGCAGATGATATACAACAGTTGCTGATAAGGTGACTATATTACCCTTCATTCACTCGCACAGATACAATGACAATTTAAGATGCTTTGCAAGACGAATCCATCAGTATAGGAATTTATCTGATCTTAGAGATCCCTTACCTGATCAATATTTAGCCTTAGCGGTTGTACAGCGACTCTAAGGCAACACTCTTCACGTGGTATAAGAGGATCAGGTCGGATATGTAAGAATTTGACCATTAGCTGAAAATAAGTACATGTCACAGTGAAATAGTTGACATACACATTATCCTGATGGAAGGTATTATTATTAACATGTCGTTTGACATTAACAACAGCTGGAAGCCGGATACAGGAAGCAGGAAGAGCTTTGAACTCACAATGGGTATTAAGCGCCTAAGGAAAATAATTTCCCAATTTAATATTAGATGTGTATCCCACGCAAGCGTATATTTCTCCGACACAGTATTACAGTACCTTTTTTCAAATCAAGTACTTACAATTTCAGTTAGAGAATATATCAAGATTTCAGGTTAAAATTTGTAATCTGAGATCTTAATTAATAACGAATTCTCATTTTTTTTTTCTCTGTTGCGTTTTACCAAAGGAAGAAAAATTAGTTTACCAATAAATCACATTGAATTGCAGGAAAAATTTTTTTTTTTCTTTTAAATGCTTGTAAATGATCACCATCATTGTAACCTATGACTGTATCTATAGTCACAAAGATTGCACCTCTTTCGTCACTAGTATTCAAATCTAGTGAATATGTGCACACAATTTATACAGATGTAAGCACATGATTTGGATACATAAACATGTATCTTGTATTAAATATTACCTGCCAAAAACATGAAAGAAATGTGCATTTTTGGAACAATTTTAATAGAATTCAATGCTAAAGCATCATTTGAAAAAAAAAATAGTTTTTATTATAATTTCCAAATAATTATAGCATACTTGTTTACTTTTTGCATGCAGTAGTGACTGATAGGCAAGAAAACAACAATGTTGTTGTTTGCTGCTATGGTTAATTAATATTAATGTATGTGTTCCTGTTATTAATGAGTCAGTGGTGATGTCACTGTCTATAACTACACATCACCTAAATGAAATTTGAGTTTCTACCATATAAAAATTGATAATAAATGGCTGAAAAATCACCATTACATGTGGATAGATTTCATTTAAAATGTTATGGGAAATTGATTATGTCAGTTTTTAAATGATTCAGATTCAAAATTACCGAGTGCTGGCCACTTTGTTTTAGTGACATGCATGACAATTCATGTTCAAACTTTATATATTTCTTAAACTTGAGAACTCACAGGAACTCAAACAAAACACATAATACACTCTTGATTATAGCAACTGTATTATATTTTAAAATGATAGACAGCTTATTAACTATTACTAAAGTTGAGGTATAACATTACAGTAATTTAAAATCATGTCTGCATATTGTAATAAAATTATCTTATTTATGTATTTGATAATTATCTAGTCATCAATCATTTGTGTTTAACCATCTCAAAAAAAGAAGTGAGGAAAAACAAGTTAACAATGTCGCAATATATAAGTTATGTAATAATAAACTATATAGATATTGCTAATTATACTATTAAAATAATGTGATTGCTCTTATATTTTTCTGTTTAATCATCAAATTTCAGCGGCAAAACTACTAAAAATAAAATAACATATGAGGTTATACTGCACTATCCGAATAAAAGACCTTAGAGAGTAATTTAATTTAGTAGTCAACATCTGGGTATGTTTGATGGAAATATTTTCATTTGCATCAGCCCCCCCCCCCCCCCCGAGTTTTTAATCAGAAGGCTCAATCTAGAAAGTTGGCAGTTATAAATCATAATCTTTCAAATATAGTCAGGCCTTTGGATTATGACCAGGATTTGTGTTTAAAGAAAAAAATCAAAAAACATCTGGATGATTTGACTGTGAATCATATCATAAATTGGGATGTATGTGTAGGTGAATGTTTAATACATTTAAAATACCCTTAGGTAAATGAATAGATCTGATTTACTCATATCTAATCTGTCTTGCAGGGCCACACAAAAAACTGCATGGATACCGTGTATGCTTTTTATAGGCATGTGGTGACAATCCAGCAAAGAAGAGATGAGATAAAATGTTGTTTAACATACTGAATAATCCCTTTGTTATATAATATTATTTTTTTTCTTTTATTGTAGTTTGTTTCAATATGAATATGCATTGTCATAATTAATTTTTAATACAAACAAGTTTTAGGATTGAAACAGAAGTGGGAAAGCTGATGTAAATATCTTACAAAAACATTGGTGCCTAATTTGTTTAATTATTTATACTCATTGTGTGACTTATGTATTATTTGAAAAGTAAAACAAGCAACCTGTCGGCTGAGATAGCTTCACTGTTAGCAATGCACATTTCAATTAAAGAACAGAAGATATAATTAGAAAATTAACAATATGTACAGTATCAAAGCAATCGGACTGGCTGTTTTCAACAAGAGTACAAAAATATCACTTTTCACCAAAAATGACAAAAATTGTCATTAAAATTAGATAATTGAAGATATCATCATGAAATGAACAAATGTAGTATCTATATATGTAATATCAAAGCAATTGAACTTGTGGTTTTCAACAAGGAGTCGAAAATATCACTTTTTACCAACAATTACAAAAATATTCACCAAAATTAGAGAATTAAAGATATTATCACAAAATGACAAATCTGAGAGAGGTCCACATGTAGTGCCTATATATGTAATATCAAAGCAATTGAACTTGCAGTTTTAAAAAGAAGTCAATAATATCACTCGAAAATATGACAAAAATATTCATCAAAATTAGAGAATTGAAGGAAACATCATGAAATGAACAAATCTAAGAGAGATATACCCAAGGTACATATACACCAAGTATCAAAGCATTCAGGCTTGTAGTTTTCAAAAAGAAGTCTAAAAAGTAAAAAGTTGACACAGACGGTGACGGACGCCAGACAATCACTCATTTGATAAGCTGCGCTCGAGAAGGTCAGGTCGACAGCGGAGCTAAAAAAAGGTCCTCTAGGAATAACTATCACGTTGCAAGCTCTTTGTATGCAAATCAACTCAAATAGTGATTGGTGGAATGCATGAAAATCAGAGTTGACATAGCATATGACAATGGACAGATATTGAATTGCCAAAGAATGTAACAGTACTGTTGCTGCTGAGAATCTACATCTTCAAACACTGCAATCTGTGTTTTTAAATTAGTATTATACAAATTCCTGTGAATTTTGGATTTCATTTGTCGAATGAACTGTTTGTCAAATACAGAATACATATGTATACATAATAATATGCATAATAAATATAATGTATACATAATACAAAATGTGGATGCATTGTTTTGCTTTTTATGTATTTTTGCATTGTTTTTGTTTTGATAACTGTTTTAATAACAACTTTGTTATTGGCTTCAGATCTAGAGCAAAAGTTTTGCACCCAATTCATAGGAGTTCTTATATTGATTATCTGACATCTTGTTTTCTGTAAAGATTTTATTGGTAGGTTTGCAAATGTGTATCAGACTGTGCAACAACTCTCTCCATGAGTTTGCATTGAAACTCAGTCTAGTATTCCCATGAGATTTGGGAGATACATTACCAAGGATATTATTACAAGATAAATCATTTGCTTCATTGAACACATACAACAATGCATATTTCCACTGAGATCAGTGACCTTTGAATGTGTATCACCAGTGATCAGTCAAGCAGAATCAGTCAAAAAATTTTATCAGATTTTTACTACTACTTTTTAAATTTTTGCATGATATTTTCACACAGGACATCTGTCGTTTGAACTAAGAGAAGATTTTATACAGAAGAATTAGGTGACCAAGGTTGGTAAAGTTTGGCATAGAATTAGTAAAGTTATTGTGCACACATTAACAATTATTAAAGGGGAACTAAATAGAGCCTATTTTGGTGTTTGTATTTATCAAGTTATGTATATTGATTATAAATTTGAAAACAAAAATAAAAAAAAAATGATTATCTTCAGAGTTATGATGATTTAAATATGAGAAACCATAAACCTGCGAAGGACTTCCGTTTGCGCCATCTTGCCATAAAAAAACGCCCTCATGAGGTATAAACAGGTAAGGTAACAAAGCATGATGACGAAATAGTATCTGATTAAATATAAGCAACTTAAGGAGCCATAGTTGGCTGGATGAGTGAATTGACTTCTAGTCTAGGTTGTTTCGACTTTTACGTTAATGTTATTTACAAGCATATCAACATACAAACATTATGGATGTGCGATTGATCGAGACAGGCATTTTGTTTTGTTTTTTGTCTAACTGTCTAATAAATGCTGTTTCCAGTACTGCACTGTTTCCAGTATGCAATCTTGAGTTCGTAGGGTGGTGGTGGAAACATTTTCGTCCATGTATTCATGTCACAGGAACACCAAGCAGATTGTTCACAGACTTCCGTGTAATTTGAAATCTAACTTTCATCCGAACAAGGGGCATCGTCGACGATATGCTCTCATCACTCACACCGGACTGATCTGAATCGTCACAGTATACCGTACTTCCCTGATCATAAGCCCGGAGGCATGAACACGTAAAGGAAAAATAAGGGATGAGCTTGTACTCGAGGACCAACTCAGAAAAAATGATTTTGTTTTGGGGTTAAACACTGTAACCATCTTGCAAACAACGAAAAATTATCCAAAAAAAATATTCGTTCACCACGCCGGGCTCGGGAAAATAATACTTATTTTTGAAAAAAAATGCGTCATTGATTTGAACGATACTTACAATGAAGAAACAAACATGTTCATAAAAAACACACACATTTTATTACAATACGATTTACATACCGTCTGAATTTACGGTGAAATAATGGGTAGGGTCTGTGAGGAAACAGTGGACGAAGGCATTTATCATTATCTTCGTTTTGGTATGTTTTCGATCGTACGCAAACTCTCGACGCAAAACAATTTTCCACCATGAGGTTTTTCAGCACGATTTGACCTGGAACAACTTCCTTTGACATAACAGGTCATGTCTTTCATTAACCAATCAAAATGATGTGTCGTAATGATGAAATTTTCCAATTATTGACGATGATTTTTTA